AAACGGAGGGCGGGGCCCGAGGGGATGACTCTTAGGACCCAGGAGATCCAGATGGGATGGGAAGGGGGATTTGAGGAGAGGGCAGGGTAGTCCAGAGTCTGCAACTGTGGGGACCTTTGGAAGCAAAACAAAGTAGGGCCCCAGAAAGATGGGAGGAAGGGGAACAGACGTAGGAGGCTCCCTAGTTCCTAGTTTTGCCACTGGTCTCTGAGAGATGTGTGAGTGTATTTACGTTTTTAGCTGCAGTTCTTATTCTAAGGTGGAAGGGTTTTCTTAACCACCACGCCTTCCCTCCCAGAGTAATTATAAATCCTCTGTCCAAGGGAGCCTCTATTTTCTGGTTTCTCTCTCCCACTTCCTCCCCTTTTCTTTCCAGTTGTTTGGAAAGCAACATTTCCCCAATTGCCCCCACCCCCACCCCTGCCAGCTAATTTCGCCTCTGGTCCCTTCTCCCAGGCTTGCCTTTTCTCTCTCTCTCCAGCAGCATCCAAAGCCAATGAATTATTAGCCTCTGAGGTGGGGCCCAGACCACTGGGAATCCGGGGTGCCACAGACAAATAAGCTTATTAGAGGAATCAGTCCCAGAGGCTCTTTCAGAAACAGTACAAAAGGATAGGGGAACAAAGTGCTTGTTGGCCAGCTCAGGAGGTTCAGGGCTCCAAGGGGGCTGGCGGCGCCCGCCACTGGTGTTGCAGACTCCTCGCCCCGATTTCCTGCCCTTGTGGAAGAGAACTGGAATCGGTAATGTTCCAGGCCATTTTTTTTTCTTCCCATGACAGAAAGACCTCTCAGAAAGACATTTGTGGATTGCTGTTCTTGCTTCCCTTGAAGGGCCTACATCTCTTTTGTAGAGTAGAACAGTCCTCTCTCTCTGTGTTGCTCTAATCTGAGCCTCATTGTGGAGCTGAAGTCTTGCACAGGCAGTGACAAGTTGTGGTCGTGGACGGCAGTCTCTTGTCACCTGATTTTACCCTCAAAGAACCAGAATCTGGGGAGAGGCCAAAGCCAATGGCCAAGCCAAAGACATCTAGCCGTGTCTTGTGCAGGGTTCTCACATCTGTTGTCTTATTCGAGCCTCACAACCACCTGGTGGGCCAGACCGGGCAAGTCTCCACTCCACAGCCGAAGCCAGAGAAGCCCAGAGTAAGTGAGTCACCAAAGGTCACAAAATCAGCCTGAGAATACAGGTCTCCTTTGGGTCTGGGACCAGGATTGACTCCATCGAGACCACCACAGCCTATGTTAAACCCGGGGGCTGATGCGCCATGTCTGGAATATCCACGAAGAAAGGGAAAAAACGCACACACAGGATTGACTTAAAATAGACAAAATACAGTTTAAGCAGTATCAGACCATGCTCATCAGAGGGTTTCTGCCAGAATGCCTTCTCAATGCTCTTCTTGGACACCTGAAATTGGGCACCTCCTCCCCGTTTCCAGCCTTCGTTGCTACACAGGCCTGGAGACTAAACAGTTGCTTTCTTAGCTCTGAACTTTGGGTGCAAGTTAAGGAATGGGAGGAAAACAGTGCTGCCTTTCATGGCTTTCTGCAAATATGGCACGCAAATATGAGAGGAGGAAGTTTTTGATCATTTCTAAGTCATGGTGACATGGCCGACACATGGCACTTTTCGGAAGCTGCCCGACCCCACCCCACCCCCACTAGAAAGCGATACTGAAAATTACATGCTTGTTCCTTTTTGTTTTCCAAACTGCTGCTACAGTCCATTAAGAAGTTGGAAAAATCTATACAGCAGGCTGCGATCAGAATTTTCAAAAAAAAGTAATACAATGAGATAGAAAGTACCAGAAACAACTTGCAAGCAGTACACTTGAGGTTTATTTTGGACATAACATTTCGTTTGTCACATGTATGCATCTGTGTGCTGGATTGTGGTATTTTGTACTTCTTATTATATGTTAGAGCAAAGCCTTTGAAAGCCACTCATCTAGAAGATCATACAATCTGAGATGCAGGCTATATCCTAAGACCCTTCATTGGATATGTTATTCCAACAATATGTTTCTTTTTAGTGCTTCTCTAGGAAGAAAGACTGACTTATATTGCCCACACAGGGTCACTGAGAACTCTTTTGTACAGAAAGCTGCGTTTGGCAAAGAAGGGCACATGTTTATTAATAGAATACAGCAGTTTTGTAGCCAGGTGTTTTGAAGAAATATTTTCGTTGTATAGAGCCAACTGTTAAATCCAAAAGCCAATTATGCCCTACCATTTCCCCCTAGATAGATCTTTATCCTTTATACCATGTGTATCCTTTCTATACCCTGTATCAAATAACACAAATTAGCAAGTGAAGTCCCCTTCTACTGAATTTCCTGCCTCGCTAGTTTCAAGCAAGTCAATCCGGCAATATTCCAGAATAAGAGATCTCATGATATCTTCTTGCTTTTTTTGGACTGCTTGCTCCTTTTCCAAACACCACATGTACCGTTTAACCTCACCGAGATTATCTTTTAGACACATCGTATATTACTGGGTAATTTCCAAAAACCAGGCACACATTAAGACTCCAGTTCACCAAGGCTCATGCATGTTTAAGTAAGGTCCATGGCTCTTCCAGCCATATAAAGCTAGTCATACAAATACCTTGATGGAATTTGAATCTTGAGTTAACTAGCCTCCTAGGCTTACAGCTTTTGCCTTCCACTACACCTACAAATTTAGACCTAAGTAGGCTCCTAACCATTTTTATCTAGGCAACTCATGACTGTACTTCATCAATTTCATCTAAGACGCCACTGATGGTGAGACTCACCAGTATTTTTGGTACTACTGAGAAAAGGGGGGAAACGGACAATTCAACTATGATTTGGCATCAATTTAGGATCCATGCCAATTTCAGGGATATTAAATTGTGAAAAATAAGTGCATCTGTGAAGAGACGGAAAATGGTAGTTGATTTTAAGGGCTGTTGCCTCTTCTCACCCCCTCTCCAAGTGCCTGGTGACAGATTTTTAAGGTGGAATTGAAATAAATGGGACCCTTCTTTCTGGAAACCAATGGTCTTTTGGCTTAACTGCCTGCTGAATCCAGCATTTCGGCTAAAGTTTCTCAAGGTTAAAATTTCCAGTATTTCACCGGAAACCTCACTGCTACCTCAAACAGGTGATCTCACGAGTGTGAATATTTGATAGGAAAAGAACAAGGTGGGCTAGAGAAAAGACAAAATCCAGGTTGTCAACCACTGTTTTCAACATTCTAATGTGTGTCTTTTTCAATTTAAAAACTTCCTCTGGTAAAGAAACAACTACCTCGAGTCTGAAAAAAATACAAAAAAAAAAAACCAAAAAAAACAAAAGACCTTAAAACAAGCTTGAGAAAACTTGTCACAAGGCAAATTTTATTTTATTTTTTCAGGTTACAAAAATATCATGTCAAAAATACAGTCTTAGTCCATACAAGAGTAGTTCCAGCCATTTGTTCTACAGAGTTTGGAAAAAGCAATGTATATAGAAGTCTTAAAACATACAATATAACCGCTCAATTCAGTTATTGCTAGTTATGTGCAGCTTTTACTTGAGACCGTTCTCTACAAGGGAAAGGGCAGTGTTCAGGTACTGCCTGTTGCTCAAGGTGTAGGATTAGACGGCCAATCCAAAGTTGGAAAGAGCTAGCTTTGAGTAGACTAGAACGTGTAAGTTTTGATCAGTACTACAAGAGAGTGTGGGCTGCATTTCGGTTCCACCCCATTCTCCCATATTTAATTCTATTCTGTTAACACGTCAGAAGTAAAATGTGTAGTTTGGGGCAAGAGTAAACGAATTGCTGGTTTTCAAAATAAGTGATGAGAAACCATAACTTTGAGTTGCGATGGAGAAACGAAGCTGGCACATTTATCTTAAAAACACTGAAACAATAAACACAAGAATGGAGGAAAATTTAAAGTTTAACAACCAAAGCTAGCTTTTTCTCCATAGATTTTGAGATGGAACAGGAATCAACTTGTTCCTTTGAAGCCTAGGGGCTTATGAAAATCTGCTGTCCTCGATTTTCTCTTTAAAAAGACCAAGAGCTAGCCACATGACAGGAACATGCTTTAAAACAGTTCTATTTGCTCAAGAGAAGAACGAATCATCAAACTAAATAATTTTAAGTTCAAATAAGAAAGAAAGAAAATGCAGTTGACAGTGTAAAACACAGAGAACAAATCACTTAACTTTGGGGGATGGGTAATACGCAGGAGACTTTTGGCCTGAAGTTCACATGGAAGACTTAGAGGCTAAGAGTGTCCCGAAGAGAAAGCAATGGCTTTGTTTCCCACTTTCCTGTCAGAGCCTGCAGGGTCAGCATTATTACTGACATCTTACCCCCAGAAGTTTTTGAATAAATTTGAGACATAGATTGGTGAAAAGTATGAGGTGCATGGGAAGAATCTTTCAAAAGCATTCTTTGAACAAAAGTGACACTCAGGACCATTTGGCAAGGATAATTTATGACTTAAATCCTAAAAATAGGCTACATTTTTAGGAGGTAGAAAACAAGTACCAAAAATTTACCATTTGGCCACTCTCCTTAACTTTTGGCCAACCTTGGATCCTCTCCATTTCTCACTCCCCATTCTCCCATTAAAGCTATTACTGCTACTACCATTCGTTACCTAAAGTTATAAACTTGGAGCTGCCAAGAAAAATCTTAAGTAGTTTTGCTTTTAAACCACTGAGTATATCTAATACTCAAGTATCAACTCGGAACGTTTTAGTAGATTAATTCACTCCATAAGAAAACATGCCTACATAAAACAATTACTTAATACGAAAAAAGACTACTGAACATCTCTACATGCTAATGTGTCAGAGCGGCTATGCAAACCTAAATTAGTAATGTTTTCACTGAACTGATTTGGATAAGCCTTATATTAAAACTTCATTACCAGCATTTACTGAAAATAGGGATGTGTCTTACTAAAACATTAAGCTACAACAACAAAAAAACTCCACTTCCTCCCAGAGAGTTATGTTGTGCTGATATCCCATAGATAGTATTAGAAAAGGATTTCATTTTTGCAATAGGCTGGGCTCACAGTGCGTATGTTAATACAGAGACCATGTGTACAATATTACCACAAGAATGTCATTAGTGAAATGTATATAAGGCATGTAAAAAACTAGCATTAAAGCTCGTAAGGGCAATGATCCAAACGGGCAGCTGCTAGAAAAGGTGCTGCTAGGAATAAAAAAGTATTAAAGAAAACAGAGTTTCAGCACATATCAGTTTATAGTGCTTCCACAATAAAATGAACTACTTCACATAAATTTATGTTGCTGGAACTAATGGACCAAACAAAAATGGACTTCTGCCCCCTTTTAACTACTAGCCCAATCTTGGAAACGGAAGCAATCACTTGCGATCTTCCACACGGTGTTGTTAGGAGTCGACTGGGCAGTCAGCAGGAAGTTCTGGTTGAAGTAGTGTTGTTTGTTTCCATCAAACTTCACAGTTCCACTGGTCACAACAAGAACTGTGGTCTGGGCCTGGGTAGCTTGCTCTTTACCCACATAAAAAAAGAGAAGAGGTCACAGTTTCTATCTCTAAAGAAGCAGATTTTCAGGCTTAAATGACATTGCTTCTAACTTAACACATAAAAAAAAGTTTCATAAACTTTCTTTACCTTGAGCATGCGTACCCAAAGGCAGAAAACTGAATTATCGTTTCAAAGCATATTAAAATTATTTTCAGTCCAGAAGGAGTTTGGGGACTCCAAAGTTTCAAAATGAAGAGCTTATATCTAGCACACGACATTTGGTTTCCGTATATATTAATATTTCATTGGGCTTCTAAAAGAGATTTTTCTTACTTTGCCTTAAGTTATTGTTCTTTTCAAGAACTATGAAAGGGGGGAAAAAATCACCCTAAACTACTACTTATGACGCTTAGGACGCCACCTAGAGGTCAATCTTACATATCGCACCGATCTACCTTGAATCAAATTCTGTCTTGCCAAATCATTTTTTCCCCATAACAGAATAAATTTCTTCTGTGAAATTTCAGGCGGTTGTAAGATAGTAACATTAACCAGAAATTGTTATAATTTTTCTCTGGAAACATTTCAAGGCACAAAAGGCAGCTGTTTATTCAGGGACAATAGATAATTAGTCCTCTCCCATCAACCAAAAGCACACTGAACCTCAATTTCTCACTCAGTTTTAATAAACCATAATCATACTATCCAACAAAACCTACTAGTGGTCCTCTGGAATTGGATGCATCTAAAAGACAACCAAAACTTTGATCTGAGTTTTTCATTTTTAACTTGTTCAAAAAAGTAATTATTTCTATCGCTACAAGTTGCTTGTTGCTTTTGGCGGTCAAGCTCAGTGCTCACTAAAGGAGAACAAAAGAAGTTGAAAGAACGTGATCTTACCATGCACTGGTTGGCAATCTAACATATTGACCTGGAACTCACTAGAAGGCAGCATCTCAAAAAAATTAGTTAGGGCTTCCAGCCCTGTAACAACATTTCCGTTCCATATTAAAGTGGCCTTGTCCAGATACAGCCTGGTTAGTGCCTTAAGAAGAAAAAAGAAAAAGAAAAGAAAGGTAAAGATTTTTGTTTCTGGGGAAGCATTTTATAGAAATGGATCGAAGGGTTACAGGTGGCATATAAACACTTCCATAGTTCCACCTCCATCTCCACTCTCCTTGCCCCCTCCCGCCGGAAGATAATGTGAGCAAGGAAGGTGTCTGCCTCATAATCTTGGCTTTAACAGAGATGATTTCACTTCAGCCACGAAAACACTTTGCATCCAAACTGGAAGAGGGTTTTGAAGTTTTGCTTTCTGTTTGTTAAAATGAATTAAATGATTATGAGTTTCATGCACCTGCAGCCCCAAACCAGGTTTAGTCTCCCTCCAGTTTTTAATTCTGAGAATTAAAGTTGTCAGTCGGGTCCTACCTGGACACACCAACTCTAGTGCTTACGTACACATGAATCATCGAATGTTTGAACCATTTAATGTCGTATGTGTTAGGAAGAATTTCTTTTACTACTACTCAAACACAGTATTTTGTTCAAAAGAATCACAAGTACTTGCTAGTGCAGAGTCTTTGCTAAGTCATGTACAAGTCAAGGCCCCACATAAGGCAGAATTCAACAGTTAACCCCTTAGGCACAGGAGTTAGTCACAGGAGGTTAGCATGTCACAGGACAGATTATTTGCTTAATCCTAAAATTTCACTTGGATGAAAAGACCAGTCCCCTTATCTTGACTCTGATAATAAAACTATGTTGCCTTTCTTTTTTTTTTGCTACTTTATTTTTGAAAGCAGCGACACAATAAACATCCATTGTCAGGTCCCTCGTCAAACATCAGTACCAGAAACTTCTTTTATAGAAATTTTGTGAGATTAACTTCTGTACCTACAGCATAAAGAAAGCTCTCTAAAGCAGTCCTGTGCCGATAAGAGACGTAGGCATGACTCCAGCACATACTGAAACAATTACTTAGAAGACATGACTCAGGGATAAATCACAACAAAAAAGCTGATGACAAGAGAACTTGCTCTGTTGAAAACGAAAAGTATCCAAGCCATGTGGATCCTATTTGTGAGTGCCAACTACAGCTGTGAGCTTTAATCAGAAATTACTAATATAGGAAATTAAATGAGCAAATCAAGGAACGTTCCCTATAATGTCAGACTCCTTCACTAGCACTAATGCTTTTTTAAGCATACTGGCTGAATGATGGGATTAAAAAGGGTAACATATTTAAGTAAACATATGTCAAGCCCCATGTCAAAGTGCAGTAAGTTACTTGCCATTTACCACCCTAAAAATAAAATGAGGTTAAGAGAGGTTAGCAGTTTGCCCAAGGTCACAGAGCTAGGTAAATGCAAAGCTGAGATAGGATCCCAGAGCCCACACTTCCGTAATATCATACCCATCCTTCTCTAAACAATGCACTTTTTAAAGAACAAGTCCACAATGATCACTTATGCAAGTCGGATGAATGGCTGGCTAAGAAAAAACAAAACAAAACAAACAAACAAAAAACCCCTGGTACTTAACAAAGAGTAGTAGAGTCTATAACACTCACCCGTCTTCTTTTGTCCATTGTCTCATAGTAAATATTGACAAATTCCTCAGCAGCTCTACATGCCTGATCTACATGAGTCTTAAAATCCTAGGAGAAAAAATTCAGACCTGTACATTACCACCCCTCCAACTCCTAACAAACACAAACCCACCAACAAAAACTGAGTATCTCAATCACTTTGTAGCTCCATACACAGTCCATTTTCTTCTATATAAATTTAGACATTATAAAGTTCAGGGCTCAAGAGTTTCCAGTTTTTACACTTTCCCCCACTTTAAAGTACGTTTATTTAGGACATACTCATCCCTCATTAAGTGAATTTTTTCTCATTTCAAATGGGAATTGATAATCTTTGCTTGGTAACTGGTGCTGTAAGTACTGCAGGCTTCCAGTATTTTACCAAACATTCACCTTAATAAAAACGATGTGGTCTGAACCTTTAAAAGGGCGGGGGGTGGAGCGCTGAATCAGAAGTTATGAGGAGTTGCTCCGTGGGGAAAAAATAAGAGTACGAAATAAAGGCCAATGAAATACTTGAAAAACTACCTACTTAGGAAACTTGCTCACATTACGTAAAAAATTCACCGGCGTTTGCAAAGAATTGCAGAACCGAAGACGAGAAATGCTTGTTGGGGTTTTCTCTTGCCGAATGATTAGTAAGTACCTTTTCCCCGGCCATTCCCTGAGCCCAGCCTATTATTTGAATTAAGAATCCGTTTCATTTCTCTGTCAGGTGACCGAAAGTTATTTGTAGAGGGAAATAAGGGAGAATAAAAGAAAAGATCGCAAGCCATAAACAGACGCCAACATTCCCGCCTCTCTCCAATTCCCATCTCGGGGGTCCTTTCCAGCATCCGAAAGCGACCGCACAGACGCCGGGCGTTGGGGTGGCGGTGGGGGGAGAGGTGGGCCACGGACCAAGAGGGGCTCCAGAGAGCGAGTCCCGCCCCCGGAGCCCAGCGGGCCCGGCCCTGATTCGCCACTGGACCACGTGACCACCAGCCAGCCCGCCCCAGCGCCCCTCCCCTCAGCTGCCCGAGCCGCGGCGCCCCGGCACCCTGCCGCGGCCCCGGCACTCACCACAGACGTGGCCATGAGCGAGCCCGAAGCAGCCTGTCCTGGCAGTGGCGGCGTCACTACCTCCTCACGTGTCGGGCGCCTTCGGCTGCTGCAGGACCAAATATTTAGGAAGACAGCTAAACCCGCCAAACGCCGAATTCTCTACCCGCCCATTCTCTCCCGGAAGTAGCTCGGTCCGTTGTTAAAAGCACCCCGATGTTCCAACCTTAAGTACACTTCCCTTCAGTTCCGACCGTACCCTTCCAACTGCCTCCTGTGTTCATTTGTTAGCTATTTATCTACTTCGTTGGGAAGAAAAAAATCCTCGGCTTTCATAAACTAGATACTGTAACCGAAAGTATCCATTTTCCCAGGGACACGGGACAAGCAAAGATCATCTAAACGGCCCAATAGGGGGGCTTCTTTGCTCCAGGAGGCGGGGCCAGGGCTAGCCGTAGACCAATGAGAAACGCGAAGAAAGACCTACTAGATCTGTAGCCTATAGGAAAAAGGGGTGGGTTTTGGCGAAGTATGCAACCACACTGCGCATGACTGGGGGAGAACGGTTTAAAGTTCTGGAACATTCTGGAAGAATCTAGCCTCACTGAATTGAATCCCAACGGTCTCAGTAGCATTCCTAAAATTAATCACAAATCACAGATTTGGTTATCTGCTATTCATAAGTAAAGGCTTATCAAGTTCATTCTAGCACGCACATGCAGTTTTTGTCTCAGACTTCAAATGAAGATTAGTATACACTGCCATTCACCACCCTCTACAATCTACTCTCTAACAACAGCTAAAATTTTATTGCGTGGTGACCACGAGCAAAGTACTTTTTCTAAGCATTTCAATCCATATTCACTTATTACTTCAATAACACTATGAGGTAATCATCTCCAGTTTATAGCTAAGGCAGAATGTGATTAAGTAACCTCTTCAGGGTCACAAACTAGTTAGGGTTTAAGCTCAAGCGACTTAACTACCACTACAACCTGATTTCACTCTGCAGCATCCTTTAATAACTGTTCATCTCAAAGGCACCAACACATTCTGGGTGGTCAAATCAATTAACTATCTCTATAGTCTTACCACGAATAACTGGTTTGTGGCTCCTCATCAGAATAGTCCCTTCTTCGTTGGTATCTTCCTGAGTCTCTGCCACGAGACGAATCTCTGCCACGAGACGAGTCTCTGCCACGAGACGAGTCTCTGCCACGAGACGAGTCTCTGCCACGAGACGAGTCTCTGCCATGAGACCAGTCTCTCCTGGACTTACTCATACTTCAACGATATTTTTCCCCCCCCGAGCTCTCCGCCGTTCAGGCTAGTTTCAACTGCAAACCTATCCGCTTCCTTCCTTTGCTCCCCTCTTACTGGCGTCACTTCCGGGGGCTGTCTCTTATTTAAAACATCCCTCCTCCCACGTGACTTCAACTGCTACCCATATGCTAATGAATCTTCAGAACACATCTCCAGCACCCCCCAACTCCAGTTCTGCATATAGAATTTTGCTATGTATGAACACTAGAATGCGCTACAGGCTTCTCAAACTCATAGAGAGTCCAAAATTTAAACTCATTATTTCCTCTGCATGTCCAATCTTCTGTATTCTTTCAGTTACCTATGCTCGAATTCTTGGAATCTTTATTTTTAGCACCCCCCCCCATCATCGTAATTCATTTGTTCATTCAAAAAGTAATGAGCTCTTAGTATGGGCAACCACATTATGCAAGGTTCTGGATATAGAGTGGTAAATAAAATAGACATGATTCATATCCTCATAAAGTTCACAGTGTAATGAGAGTGCTAGACAATAAACAAAATATTAATGAACTACAGAGGAATTCCAAGTAACTTGCTCGATTCTGCTCATTTTTTTAAGCAACCTCTCTCTTCCCTCCCTCCCCTCTCCTCCGATTCTCTCTTCTCCTCCTCCCCTCCGATCCTCTCCTCTCCCCCTCCCCACTCCTCCTTTCCCCCATCCCC